ATATATATATATATATATATATATATATATATATATATATATATATCTAAAACCAAACTCACTAAAAGGAGTCCTTTCAACAGAAAAACAACAACAGAAGACAACAAATTAAGATCAAGACACATGACAACACCACTTAGAAACCAACCTAGAAAAAGAACTCTCAAAACTAAAATAAACTTACAAGAAGGTAAATAGAGAACTGGAGGAGTCAATCTGTAAATGACACCAACAACAGAGCAACTAGAGAGAATAGATAGTGTAATTACAAGATTTCCAAATGCACAAGAAGTCATAAATGTCTGTATAGAACACTGTCCCAAACTTACAAGTATAAAAATTTACTACAAGAAAATTAACAAGCCTTCTAACCAAAATAAGAAAGCAAAAAATCACAAGGACTTAATAAAGAAAAAAACAATGAAGAAAAGGGAAAGAAAACTTCATAACCAAATGAACCCAGTACAGAAAAATATTTGGAACAAAGAAACCACCAACAACACTGCAAAAAACACAATAGACTGACAGTAATAAATTCATGCATATCATTAGTTACACTGAATGTGAATGGACTAACTATAGCAGTCAACAGAAAGAGAGTGGCAGATTGGGTAAAAGAAGAAGATTCATCTATGTGCTGCCTATTAGAGACTCACCTTAGACACACAGATAAAAGTAAATAAAAATCAAGGTGTGGAAAAAAGTATATCAAGCTAATGGCAACAAAAAGACAGGAGTGGTAATATTAATTTTTTATAAAATAGACTTTGAGGTCAAAACCAACATAAGGCATAGGAAGAGAATTTTAAAATCATAAAAGGGTCAATTACCAAGAGGGCATAACTATAATAAATAATCTATGCACCTAATGAAAGAGCTACAAAATGCATGAAGAAAACGTAATTAAATTGAAAGGACAAAAGACAATTCTACAGCAGTAGTAGGAGACTTTAACACTCTTCTGTCAATGAAGGACAGAACAACTAGAGAAAAACTCAATGAAGATACAGAAGATCTCAAAAACACAATCAAACAATTTGACCTCATAAATATACACAGAACACTTCACCCAACAAAAACACAATACACATTCTTTTCCAGTGTGCATGGATTATTCTCCAGAATAGATCATGTTAGGTCACAATACAAGCCTCAATAAATTTAAAAACATCAAAACACTACAAATCATCTTCTCATATTATAATGCTATAAAATTGGAAATCAGTAATAGGAATAACAAGGGGGGAATCAAATACATGGAAACAGAATAACACTCTCCTCAAGAACTAGTGGGTAACAGAAGAAATAAAGGGTGAATTTAAAATAAAAAGAAAAAATCCTAGAAACAAATGAGAACAAAAATACAATATACCCACATCTTTGGGACACAGAAAAAGCAGCACTCAGAGGTTAACTTATAGTAATCAATGTACACATCAAAAAAGAAGAAAGAATCAAAATCAACACCTCAATACAACAACACCAACAATGGAAAAATTTCTAGAAACACAATACCTACCTAAACTAAAACAGACTGAGATAGAAAACTTGAGCAGACCCATAATAAGAAGAAATTTAGCAGGTCATGGGAAAAAAAAAAAAAAAAAACCTCCCCACAAAAACAAGGCATGGGCCAAATGGCTTCACTGTAGAATTCTACCAAACATTGAGAGAACAGTTGAAACCTATCGTACTCAAACTATCCCAGAACATAGAAAAGAATGGAGTGCAAACAAATTCATTCTATGAAGAAACCACAGCCCTGATACCAAAATCAGGTAAAGAGAAAACTACAGATCAATATCCTTCATGGATATAGATGCAAAAATATTCAACAAAATCCCTAGCCAACAGAATCCAACACCCTGTCAAATAATAATAACAACAAAAATACACCATGCAAGTGGCATTTATACAAAGTATGGAAGAATGTTTCCACCTCAGAAAAACAATCGATGTGATCCATCATATAAACAAAATGAAAGAAAAGAACCATATGATCATATCAATCAATGTAGCAAAGGCATTTGATAAAATCCAGCACTCATTTCTGATTACAATACTCTTAGCAAAAGAGGAATAGAAGGGATATTCCTCAATGTAATAAAAGGCATATAGGCAAAACTTAATAGCCAACGTTATTTTCAGTGAAGAGAGTCTCAAAGCATTCCCCTTGTGAACAGGAACCAGACAATCATCACTCCTATTCAACACCGTAGTGGAAATCATAGCCAGGGGAATAAGGCAAGAAAGAGAAATAAAAGGCATTCAAATTGGCAAAGAAGTCAAATTATCTCTGTTTGCAGATGACATAATCTTATACATAGAAAATCCAATAGACTCAGCAAGAAAACTTCTGGAACTAATTGAAAGATTCAGCAAAGTGACAGGGTACAAAATCAACATCCATAAATCAGTTGGAGTCCTCTGCTTCAACAACGAGATCTCTGAAAAGGGAATAAGGAAATAACTACCAAAAAGATAACATGTTTATGAATAAATCTTACCAGGGACACAAAATACCTATACAAAGAAAACTATAGAATACTACTACAAGAAACTATAATAGACCTACGTAAATGCAAGAACAGGCCATGCTCACAGATAGGAAGACTGAATATTGTGAAAATGTCAATAGTACCCAAAGCAATCTATGTATTCAATGCTATCTTGATTTAAACGCCATCAAAATTCTTTAAAGATATGGAAAAACTAATCATCAATTTTCATGGAAAAGAAAGAGAACTCAGATAACCAAAGCACTAGTGAAGAAGAAAAATGAAGTAGGAAGTCTTACACTCCCCAATCTCAAAACCTCCTACACATCCACTCTAGTCAAAACCACCTGGTATTGATACAACAATAGACACATAAAGCAGTGGAACAGAATTGAGAATCTACAAATACATACATATATCTACGGGCAGCTGATCTTTGACAAAGGGCTGAAAGCCATTAAATAGAGAAGAGACAGCCTCTTTAACAAATGGTGTTGGTAAAATTGCATATTCATTTGCAGAAAAATGAAACAAGATGCATACCTCATACCATACACAAAAACAAACTCAAGATGAAGACCTAAGTATAAAACCCAAATTTATAAAATTCATGTAAGATAAAATAGGGGCAAACCTAAGGGCCCTAATTTATGGCATAAATAGACTCTCAAACAAACCAAAAATGCACAAAAAGCAGGAAATAATATAGATGACTGGAACCTTTCAAAAATTAAATTCTTATGCTCATCAAAAGACTTCTCCAAAACAATAAAAAGAGAACCTACAGATTGGGGAAAAAATTATCTGGCTATAACGTATCCAACAAGGGACTTATCTCTAAAGTTTAGGGAAAATTTCAGCACCTCAACATAAAAAAGACAAGCAATCCAATCCAAAACTGGACAAAGAACATGAACAGACACTTCACCAAGGAAGATATTCAGGCAGCCAATAAACTCATGAAGAAATACAATCATTACCCATCAGAAAGATGCAAATCAAAACAACAATGAAATATTATCTCATTCTAGCAAAGTTCAACAAGAAAGAAAACAACAAATGCTGGCGAGGGCATAGAGAGATTGGAACTTTCATACACTGTGGGACTGTAAAATGGTAAAAGCACTGTGGGAAAACAGTATGGTGCTTTCTTAAAAAGTTGGAAATAGAAATACCATTTAATACAGCACTCCCACTACTAGGAATATATCCTAAAGAGGTAAGATCAAGAATGCAAATAAATATATGCATACCCATGTTCATGGCAACACTAATCACAATAGTAAAGAGATGTAAACAACCAAAGTGCCCATCAACAGATGTATGGATAACCAAACTATGATATATACACACAATGGAATACTATGCAACATTAAAGCATAATGAAGAATCCAAGAATCACTTCATAATGTGGATGAACTTGGTAGACATTATGCTGAGTGAAATAAGTCAATCACAGTAGGACAAATATTGTTTGAGTACATTATTATAAAAAGTCAAAGAAAGGTTTCCACAAGGAAAGAAATTTACTTTATTGGTTACCAGGGATGGGAGATGAGGGGAGGGAAACTGCTGACTAGTTAAGAGACATGTGTTGATTTAGGTGAAGGGAAAGACAATATAAGAAAAGTGTGTGACCAGCACAATAAAATAGAGAAAAGGAAGACACAGAGAGGTGCACAGGGTAGGGGTAACCACAGGAAAGAGGTTGGGAAGAGAGCTGTTTCATTATAGGGATTATAACTGATGCCGTGAAACAAAATGTAGATGAACTTTTGTGTGTAAAATGAATCTGCTTTGTAAATTTACACCAAATCACGAGAAAAAAATTGTTTTTAATGAAATAAACTGCATTCTAAGATACGGCTTTTTACAACAAATTTTGTAATGTTTTTCTAGAGATATTTCTTTATTTGGGGAAAGGAAAGGAGATAAAATTGGATATTGGAACATGCTTCAATGAAAACTAGTCAATTTTCTGAGTACACTTTCTTTTCCTTCTTAACACAACTCCTCTAAAGAATGGAAAAATCTAACACAAAACAAGAAAAACTACTTACCTGGATGTAGTTGTATGCTCAGACTCTCATTTCTAGCCAAGTGGGAGACAGAGCAGGTCACAGTAGACATGTTGCCATCCTCCCAGTGGCATGTACTCTGCACAGACACTGCACCATTGCCTTGATTTTCTTGCTCAGTGACACAGTCCCCCTCTGGGTTCCAGGAGATCTGTGCAGCCGGCTTCCCTGCAACTGCCTTGCACACCACAGTTCTATTCTCAGTTAGAAACACGGTCACCTCGGGGGGCACTGCAGAGATGTAAGGGAAAACAAATGCTTCAGTGTTAACATAAGCAAAAAGGAATTCAGAGAGACTTTTGATTCTGTCTCAGTCTGGTTATTTGAAATAGCACAATGTACAATGTTCCTTACTGTGGTGCTTATGTTTGTGTGTCAACTTGGCTGGGCCTGGTTGAGTGGCTGGGCAGCTGGTGGTAATTATTCCCCATGATGAGACTGGCAATCAACTCCATGATGGGATCTACCACAAGCAGCTGAGTACGTGGTCTGCTTCCCGTATACAAGCAGCAGCTTTGGGAATGGTCTCTAGCTTAGGGCATACTTGGACTCTGTATGTAGCTGTGTTATTGTTGAGCAGCCTGCCATGCTCTTCCGACCTTGGGACTTATAGTGGACTTGAAGTAATGGCCTGCTGAGTGGGTTGGTAACATCAGGACTGTGTCTTTTTACTTGTCAACCTTGGGTTTGTTAGCCTCAGCAGCCAGCAGCTGCCTGAGTGAAGAAAAGCCTCTAGCTTCAGTGGGCCGGGGGCAGAAGGCAGAGCTGCAACCCAAGGTTGAGGGGCTTTCACCCAGCCCCTAGAGCCTGGCACTTTGAACTTGGACTAAAAGCCTCCAAAATGTAAGAATACATGCCTGTTTATTAAGGCCATCCCATTAGTGGTATATTCTTGTCAGAGTGGCACTAGGTAACCAGACACTTACCTAACACTTGGACGTGATAGCAATGATGGAAATTCCCATTAGATGTTACCATTTCACACATGTAAGATCCATCGTGAGTGATGGCCACTGGATTAATCTGAAGGTCAGGATTCTGGTCAGGTCTGGTGGCCCAGGTTATTCCTTTATTAGTACAATTAGCTTCCAAAGTCTCATTTTTATCTCTCCTGTAGGCTTTGGTGCAGGAAGTGTTGTCTCTGAAGATTATTTTCCACGTTGCTACAAACTCAGGTGTCAGTGGGACAGGAGGGCAGGAGAGTACAGCCCTCGTGTTCACCAGTACAGTCAGTGAAGTCTTCCCTGGACACACACACAAACACAAAGACAGTGATTTTTTTAAAAAAGCTTGACAAAGCTTGATACCTCAAGTGATATTAGAATGTTGTTTTGGCAGCCTTATTCTATAAATATTAGACTTAGATGCCAAATTAAACATTCATAAATGTATATATTAAATGCAATCCAAAGATGAACCCATTTTCTCCTATATTACATGTTGTTGTTGTTGTTGTTGTTGTTGTTATTTGCCATCGAGTCGGCCCCGACTCCTAGCGACCCCTCCTTGGGTTTCTGAGGCAGTATCACTACGGAAGTAGGATTGCCCAACCTTCCTTCTGAGGAGTGGCTGGTGGGTTTGAACCGCCAGCCTCCTGGTTAGCAGTCAAGTGCCTTAGGCACTATGCTACCAGAGCTCCTCTATATTACATAGTATTAGAAAAACAATATGTATTACACATGGAACACATATTTTTAAAACTCTTGAAATTGATTCAAGAGTTTCGGTATCTATAGAACAGATAAAATGGGAAAACCAAATTGTAAACAAAAAGACAAAGTGTTTTAAATCTAATCTGCTCTTTGCACACACTATTAGGTTTATCATAGAATCTATTCTCTTCAGGAAATGATGGACTAATTAATGATGTGGTTATCACCTCCTAAGTACCAATAAGAAGAAAAACTCAGTAATTTCAGAACTCGATGTCTATCTCTAAGGGTGGCACTTTAGACAAACAAAGTGGCAAATATATAGTACTTCTTTAAAAGTAAGTACAATGAGCACTAAGGTTGATCAAGGTGGAATATTTTTATTATTTAGTATATTTTTCATTCATAGAATCATAATCAGTGAAGTCAATTAATGTTAAAATAATCCATAGTTTCATCAGTTGAGCCATCCAATAAAAATGAAAAATTGTTGTCTAATAGTAAGTTGTTGTTATTATGTGCCATTGAGTCAGACCTGACTCACAGCGATCCCTCCTTGGGTTTCCGAGATGGTATCACTACAGAAGTAGATTGCCCAACCTTCCTTCCAAGGAGTGGCTAGTAGTAAGAGATGCCTACAACCCATTGCTGTCGAGTCAGATCCAACTCATAGTGACCCCTCCTTGTGTTTCTGAGGCAGTATCACTACGGAAGTAGATTGCCCAACCTTCCTTCCGAGGAGTGGCTCATGGGTTTGAACCTCCAGCCTTGTGCTTAGCAGTCAAATGCCTTAGGCACTACACCACCAGAGCTCCCAAGAGATGCCTAGAAATATTTATTTCTATTAAAAAAAAGAAAAAAAAAAAAAAAACTCCCTTCCAGTGAGTCGATTCCCTATAGTACAGAGTAGAACTTCCACATAAGATTTCCAAGGCTGTAAACCTTTATGGAAGCAGACTGCCTCATCTTTCTCCTGCAGAGTGGCTACTGGGTTCAAACCATTTACCTTTTGGTTTGCAGCCTAATGCTTTAACTACTGCTCCATGAGAGCCCCTTTATTTCTAGTATAGTGCATATATACAAAACAAAGAAAAGCAAGAATTGTTTTCCTTGAGAGGCATGGTAGTTATGTTTGTGTGTCAACTTGGCTGGGCCTGGTTGAGTGGCTGGGCAGCTGGTGGTAGTTATTCCCCATGATGAGAGTGACAATCAACTCCATGGTGGGATCTACCACAAGCAGCTGAGTAGCTGCCTTTGGGATGTGGTCTCCTTCCCATATATAAGGAGAAGCCTTGGGAATGGTCCCTAGCCTATGGCACACTTGGATCCTGCATGTAGCAGTGTCATTGTTCAGCAGCCTGCCATGCTCTGCTGACCTTGAGACTTACAATGGACTTGCATTAATGGCCTGCTGTGTGGTTTGGTGACATCAGGACTGTGCCTTTCTTACTTGTCAATCTTGGGCTTGGCAGCCTCAGCAGCCAGTAGCTGTCTGAGTAAAGAAAAGCCTCTAGCTTCAGTGGGCCGGAAGCTAGAGGCACAGGTGAAGCCCAAGGCTGAGGGGCTTTCACCCAGCCCCTAGAGCCTGGCACTTTGAACTTGGACTTCTAGCCTCCTCAACTGTAAGAGAACAAACTCCTGTTTGTTAAGGCCATCCCATTTATGGTATATTCTTGTCATAGTGGCACTAGTTACCACAACAAGAGGTTTTCTATAAAATGGATTTCATTGGGATATTACCAAACACAGCCTCTAGGTGAGTTTCCCTTTCTTCTGATTCAGTCACATAAACTCCAAATAGTTCAGCTGTGAACTTTGCTTACAGATTTTATTTCCTTGTGTCCAATCTGGTTATCAGCATTAAATGTAGAAGTTGACCAGTTTTGTTCACCTTTTAGGTTAAAAAATTAAGCACTGCAACCTACAAGCATCTATCAGCATAGAATCTCACACTGTCCCATAAACTGTCATAATGTAGTCCTTGATTGATAAAGGTTTACTGAGAAGTGATTAGTTCAACCAAGTATCTGTGACAACTCATCTGTACACAGAGGTTTCGGTGATTTTATTCCTTTAACCTAAACAGAACCAGCTATCTATGGCATGGCAAAATTTTTATGCAATGAAATTTGTTTTTACTAAACTCTGCATTTCATATCTTTCCTGTTTTGGTGTCACCTCCCTGTTCTCTAGCACCCAAGACCTTGAATTTCACTGTCAAATAAGATAACATAACTGGATAAAGGAAGAGGCAGGATTTTAACCCAAATCTGAGAGGCAGGGAATTCATGCAGTTCCCACCACTTCAAGTGCATCCTCTTAGGGAGAGAACTTCCAACTTGGCAGATACTTAAAGGCATGTAAAAACATGGCTTGTTTGGAGAACATTTAGAGGTTGGATCTTTTGGGTCCCTTATACCACTATACACAGATCCCAATCTTCTGTTTGGCACAAGGCTGGTCCCCACCCCAGGACATCAGTTAATGTTTCCATAGAAGTTCACCACTCCATGACCACACTGCTGGCCTCTAGATAAAGAAGCAGGTTACCTTCTGTGGGAGGTGTTGAATTGTTCTGCATCATCTGCTTTCTACCCACAAATGAACTAATTGTTGAACCTAGAAAATATTCAGAGAAGAGTAAATGAAGTTTAGGTACTCAAATGGAGTGAGAGCAATTGTTTCTCCAACTTATTCAATAAGATAGAAAATCAATTAACCATAACTAAAATTACATAAAAATCTCACAAATCAGAAATTATACCATCAATTGGGGAAAAAAAAGATATATTAAAATTCTTAAATTACATTGATAAGCTACTAATCAATTATTTTCCATTTATGAGATTTCCCTTGTTCTGTCAACATTTTGTACGAGATACTCCTGGCTCAACACCCATCCCTAGCCACGATGAATTGGTCCAACTTGTGCACTTCACATGAGGTAGGTCCATTATAGTCCTATCTCCAAATGCCATCCTCTGATTAAAGTTGTTTGCTTCAGTTGGAGGCACTTCACCCAGCTGGACAAATCAGAGCCTTTCTTGAGAATTTTGGAACTGGAATTGAGAAGAAGAATCGATCTCTCTTCCTTCTCCATTTGTCCCACCTTGTTGGAGAACAAAAGGATAAAAGCAGAAGCACAGAGAGGAGAAGAGATGGGAGTCCTCACCTAATTCAAGTCTCAAATTTCACCATTTCTAAGCCCAACAGCCATTCCTTACCTCAGGTTCTTCCCTGCAAAGTAGTCCTAATTTATTTGACATTTAGTTTTTTAAAAACTGCTCTTTTGTAGTTTGTTTTTAAGAAAAAAGGGACTAATCCTATGACATAGGGAGCTCTGGTGATGTACTACCTAAGGCACTTGATTACTAACCAGAAGGATGGAAGTTCAAACCTACCAGCTACTCCTTGAAAGGAAGGTTGGGCAATCTACTTCCATAGTGATATCACCTTGCAAACCCAAGGAGGGGTCGCTATCTGACTCCAGGGTAGTGCGTTGTGTTGTTTGCTTATGACATAGGGGCCTAACAAAGTTCTATGTCTGGGTTTATAACACCATTTACAAACTTTCTGCTTATAAAAATATACTTTTTGATCCCATTCTAATTTTGTGCCCATTCTACCCCATTAGAAATAAGTAAGAAAATTTAATAAATGTATTCTCATATATGTATGAACAGTAAATAAGACTCCTAAAATAATTTGGCATTCCTAGCAGCTAGATGTTATTGTCTTGGGCTGGAAAGAAAGAAAAAATGAGATTCTAACTGTTAAGTTTAACTTAAGAATGGGCTCAAGAATCTATTGCAATATTGCAAAGACAGATAAGAAATTTGAGTTGAGCTCAAAGGATTTATCAACATTAAGTGATGTCATAGATATTCTAGATCCTAAAAGTCTACCAGGAGTCCCTGGGTGGTGCAAACAGCTAAGAACTCAATTACTATCCAAAAAGTTCATGGTTCAAATCCACCCAGAGGCACTTCAGGAGACGGTTCTGGTGATCTTTCAAAAGGCTAATTGCACTCAAAACCCTAATGTAGCAATTCTATTCCACACATGGGATCATCATGAGTCAGAATCAACTCAACACTAAAAACAACAACTAAGCTCTATAATACTACGAAATATTCCTTAGCCATAAAGACCTCTCCTGACAAGCCATATCCAGCTTTGAAGGGTTCCTAAGGTCTGTCAGCTCTTCCGATGACAAATTCATCACCGATGAAGACTAAATGTTTGTAACAGACAAAAATTGAGGATGTGGAGTATTATTGTTGATAATATTGTTTCAGCTTGGAACCATCAAAGGGAAATTTTAAAGTTTTATTAAGAAATAGAAGATCTGGTGGTCTAGTGCCTAAGGCATTTGACTGCTAACCAGAAGCCTGGAGGTTCAAACCCACCAGCCACTCCTCACAAGGAGGGTTGGGCAATCAACTTTCATGGAGATACCGCCTCAGAAACTCAAGGAGGGGTTGCTATGAGTGGGATCTACTTCATGGCAGTAAGTAAGGGGTGTAAATAAGGTGAGGTAGGGGCACTGAGGGAGATAAAGCAGGGACAAGGAAACTTTTCCTGTAAAGGGCCGGATAGGAAATATTTGAGACCTCAGGATCCATAAAATCTCTATTGCAAGTATTCAGCTCTGTCATTGTAGTGTGAAAGCAGCCATAAGCTATATGCAAACAAGCAGGCATATCTCTGCCCCAATAAAACTTTATTTACAAAAATGTGCCACTGGCCAGTTTTGTCCATGGGTTGTAGTTTGTTGATTTAAAGTATAATATTTTGTTTTCATTTCCTACATTTATGCCTCAACAAGATGGATTTGACACAGTGGCTACAAGGATGGGCTCAGGTATAGCAAGGATCGTGAAGGTGGCATAGGACCGGGCAGTGTTTCTTTGTGCTGTACATTGGGTTGCCATGAGTCAGAAATGACTCAATGGCACCTAACAACAACAACATTTATACCAATTAAAAAGAACCCTGGTGGTGCAGTGATTAAGTACTCAACTGCCAACCAAAAAGTTGGCAGTTCAAACCCACCAACTGATTTACAGCTTTAGAAACCTGTAGGGGCAGTTCTATTTTCTCCTATAGATCCCTATGAGTTGGAATTGATTCAACGACAATGGTTTTGACTGGTTTTACAACAATTAAAAATAATAAAGACAAACTTCCATATTAACAAAAAGAACAAAATATTATTCTATTTTCTTCTGCTCCCCTTGCCTTTTAAAAATAAATCTCCACTGACAATTCTAACTTCTCCTCAAATTAAATAAGTTTCATATTCTATTCTTACCATTAGTGTCAACTTTTTCCTTCTCCTCTCCCTCCTTTCTTCCTTCCCTTCCCCTCCCTTACCTTAAATGAAATGTGGGAAGTATTGAGGCCATTCAATGGCATTCTGATGAATAAGAAAACTACAGTGATGTCTGTCCTTCTCCTCCTCCATCCAGGGGTGCTGCCTCATGCCCCAAAGACAGCAGCTTCCATGGTGAACAAAGGTTACTCCAGCATAAGACAGCCTTCCCTTGTGGGTATTTCTACCTCTGCAGCCCTGAAACCTGCTGCTTCTGGAGGAAAATGTCCTCAAGATCTGGTTAGTCTGACAGAACTCTGCTTCAGCACCAAGTCTTCCCAACACATTCTTGTTGTCACCCATCATGCTCTCTATTTTAAAAGTAGGAGATGGTCTCAACGAGAAGTTAGAATAATTCAGTCTTGATGCCTTTAAAAGGATATTTACAGGCTTTTCTTCTATTTTTTGGATCTTACTTCATGTGTCTTATAAAAATTGTCACTTTTAGTGACAAAGCAAATTCTTTTTATGCTGTTTAGTTGTTGCTATTTCAGGGGAAAATTAGCTTTATCATTAATTTTCATCAGATACAATTAAATCCATTTCCCAGTACTTTGAGATTCTCTTAGAAGAACTTGGTTTTGCATTAAACGGTCTCTTCATAATTGACTTAATGGAGGCATCAAAGATTCTGAGTGTCAATGATTTCCTAGGGGACTGAAGTGCAGAAAAAGCCTTCTGCTTAATGAAGGTATTCCAATGAGTCCAGGCCCATGACAAATGTGTCTCTCAAACCAAAAACCAAATTCTTCTCCAATCAAGCCACATCCAACTGCTTCCCAAAAACACTCTGAAAAGGTAAACCATCCTTGCAACTTCACATACCAGAGTGAAAACCCACAAACTGGAATGTATTCTTAAGTGTACAAAAGTGATTGTTTTGGAAGTGCAAAAAATAAATTATGTGAAAACATATATTATTCTGAATATTTTTATAATATTGGCTAAAGCTCTTTAAGCTTAGCTAATTGCTAATACATTGAAACCTATGAGAGTTGGAACTCAACAGGATTGCCTTATTTTTTCAGGTTTCACAAGTTTTCTTCCTTTGACAGGATGCAAAGGTACTTTTTTACTTCCTATTAGTTGGAAATAGTTGAGTTTTTCTTCTCTGACAGATTTCCACCTTATGCAAGTTCTGGCTTTTATAGGCTTTACTATATATATGGCCCCTTTATTCTTATTATCTCACTGGCAGCTAGATGCTACAGAAAGCCAATTTCATATTATGTATCATGTCTTCAGGAGTCCCTGGGTGGTGCAAACAAGTAAGGTGTGCAGCTGCTAACCAAAAGGTGGGAGATTTGAATTCATCAGAGGTGCCTTGGAAGAAAGGCCAGATGAAATGGTTCTGAAAAAAAATCTTGGCTATTGAAAATCCGGTGGAGCAAATCTGAATCAAAATGATGGTGTCTGATTTATTGTGTCTTTGTTGGAAATAGGAATCATTTTTGTCTTCAACTCTTACTTGGGGCTTCGTATACACAAAAGTAGTGCAACCAACATTTAAAACTTCTGATCAATGGTTCTGCAATGCCTTTAATTCCTTTTTATGGAATTGAAATTTCTTTTAAGCTTAGAAATATTATAGTTTTACATTGTTAACATCCAAAGTCTAATTTAACTCTTTGACAATGCAGACATATATGAAGAAACAAATGTGAATTGTGTTTTTTGTTTGTTTTTTACTAACAGTAGCAAAGTAATGTAATTCTCAAGATTTATAGTTTCATGCTTATTTTACTTATTCTTTTCTGTTGCTGACCTGACATCTAATCACAGTTCTAGATGTTGATTAATTAGAAAGAATATTTATTGAGTCCAGGAACTGAATTTTGAGAACATTGCAATTAATTTTCACTAAAGTGCTCAATTAACAAGAAAATATATTTTTATATTTAAAGAAAAAGTTAATTATAATGTTAACTGAAATTTTGGTGAAGGGTACAGAAAATAAATCACTAGGATCTGCTAAGTCCTGCATTGAACAACATTGTCTGGAGAAACCTATTTTTGAAAATTTTCCTTTGGACAGACCATGGGTTGGTTTCGTGAACATATTCTTAAAATAGGTGACAACTAAGCGCATAAACAATATCTAAATTAAAAATTTATCAACACTTTTAAACATAAGAAATATTACTGAGACAACAGTCTATAAGTACATACAAGACAATTCAAGATCCTAAAATGTAAAAACTCTATGAGCATAACACTCTCCCACTAGAATTATTATTAAAAGAGGAGTATTTACCCAAAGTACTGTTGTCCTTCTTGTTTTGCTGTATTAACAAGTTGCTTGGTGAAACAGTACCTTCCACTCCTAAACTTATGCATTCTGAAAAAGATACGGGATAGAGACAGGAATGTGCACTAGTAGATAGAAATCCTAGTGAAAACCACCTTTCTTCCCTTTCTTCAGGGCATTTATGAATTGCAGTTGCCAATGGAAATACAAATCCCCACAGGTAAGCAAAAGTCAGCAAAATTTAATATCAGCGTCAATTTTTGGCCTGCTCTTCCCACCTGTTCAGCATACCCCCACTTGAAGCACAAAGTTCCCCTCCCCATCTTCATGTCATATGTTTAAGTCAAAGTATTTCTTCTCCTAGGCTTATCTGCATTCAGTCTATCCCCGGTTGTCATAGAAAGGGTTTTACTACTAAAGACTTTTCAGGAATCTTTGAATAGGTTGAAGAAATTTAGCGGTGATATGCTGATTGGATCCTGGTGTGGAACAAAAAAGGACTTCCCTAAGCCTTGTTGAAATCACTTCATATAGACAACTACCTAAGTCCACATTTTTTAAAGCAAGCTCGAAATGGTAATGCTAATTGTGATGATTAATGCTATGTGTCACCTTGTCTAGGCTATGATTCCCAGTGTTTTGGAAAACATTGAACTGATCATTCTTCCATAATGTAATATAATGTAATCATTCTCCATTTTGTGATCTGATGTGAGCAACCAATCAGTTAGTTGAAAAGCTAATCAGTTTTCTTGGAAGGTGGACTGTATCCAGTATATGTGAATATTCTGGCAGAGGTCTCATTCTTTTGATCCCACATCTGACTAATCATCCTCTGACCTCCAGTTCTTGGAATGTGAGTTGGTAGCCTGCCATCTGACTTGCATATTTTGGGATTTGCCAGCTCCCACAGCTCAGTGAGCCAGTAGTCTGAACTGATTTTGGGTTCATCAGCCCCTGAAACCACATGAGTCAGGAGAAGCCTCAGCCCAACACCTAATCCGTGGATTTTGGAATTGCCTGCCTGTACAACTACATGAACTATTTCCTTGAACTAAATCTCTCTCTTTCTCTATTTATATATGTGTGGTAATTAAGTTTGTGTGTCAACTTGGCTAGGCCTGATTGAGTGGTTGGGCAGCTGGATGTAGTATTCCCCATGATGAGATTGGTAATCAACTCCATGGTGAAATCTACTGTGAGCAGCTGAGTAGCTGCCTTTGGGTATGTGGTCTGCTTCCCGTATATAACAGCTTTGGGAATGGTCTCTAGTTTGTGGCACACTTGAACCCTGCGTGTAGCCATGTCACTGTTCAGCAGCCTGCCATGCTATGCCGACCTTGAGACTTTCAATGGACTTGAATTAATGGCCTGCCATGTGGTTTTGTAACATCGGGACTATGCCTTTTTACTTATCAACTTTTGGTTTGTCAGTATCAGCAGTCAGCAGCTGTCTGAGTAAAGAAAAGCCTCTAGCTCTAGTGGGCCAGGAGCAGGACGGAGAGCTGAACCCCAAGGTTAAAGGGCTTTCACACAACCACTAGAACCTGGCACTCTGAACTTAGATTTAAAGCCTCCAAACTGTAAGAATAAACTCCTG